ATGGGAAATTCTTCAAGCTTCATTCAAAGGTGTAGACAAAGTGAAGAAGGTGCGTCTCCAAACATTAAGAGGTGAATTTGAGTCCCTCCACATGAAGGAGTCCGAATATTCGGATTATATCTCAAGAGTCTTGGCCATTACCAACCAAATGAAGAGGTATGGAGAAGATGTGAAAGATGATCGAGTTGTGGGAAAAATTCTTAGATCGTTGGATCCAAAATTCAACTACATCGTGTTGCCATTGAAGAGTCGAAAGACCTAGACACCATGTCCGTTGATGAACTCGCGGGTTCACTACAAGCTCATGAAGAGAGATTGAAGACGCCAACACAAGAATCGGTGGAGCAAGCTTTGAAAGCAAAGCTATCAATCAAAGAGAAAGAGACCAACTCAGGACGAGGCCGTGGAGGTGCTCGTAGTCATGGCGGCGGACGAAGACGAGGACGCGGAAGAGGAAGACAAGGACATGATTATGCAAATAATAGGCATAATTACGACTCGACGAAAAACCAAGAAAGAGGTCGAGGTCGTGGACGTGGACGAGGTCGAGGCCCAAGAGGTAGAGGATATAGGCCGAATTAAAGGCATGACAAATCAAGCATCGAGTGTTTTAATTGTCATCGCTATGGCCATTATGCCTGGGAGTGTCAAAGTGACGTAGAGGAGAAAAGTAATCTCATGGAGAGTATCAACAATGAAGACGTGGATCCCACTTTGCTTCTCGCATGCAAAACAAATTTGGAAGACGAGGATAGCCGATGGTATCTTGACTATGGAGCAAGTAGTCATGTATGCGGGAGACGAAATTTATTCTCAGAACTTGATGAGTCCATTGGTGGTGACATAACTTTTGGAGATTCTTCAAAAGTACAAGTAAAAGGGAAAGGTACGATTTTGATTCGCTTGAAAGACGGGAGTCACCAGTTTATCTCCAATGTCTTTTATGTGCCGGAGATGAAAAGCAATATTTTGAGTTTGGGACAACTTTTGGAGAAAAATTATGACATTCATCTAAAAGATAGAAGTTTGACGATGAGAGATGAAGATGGAAGATTGCTCGTTAAAGTCCCGATGACGAAGAATCGAATGTTTTTGTTGAACATTCAAAGTGATGTCCCGATGTGCTTGAAGTCTTGTTTCAATGATTCATCTTGGCTATGGCATTTGAGGCTTGGACATTTGAATTTTGATGGCCTCAAAATGATGTGCAAAAAGAGAATAGGGAAGGGGTTGCCTTCAATAAATCATCCTAACCAACTTTGTGAAGGGTGTATTTATGGAAAGCAAGCAAGAAAGAGTTTCCCAAAGGAGTCGACGACAAGGGCGCAATATCCATTGGAGTTGGTTCACTCTGACGTGTGTGGGCCAATCAAACCAAATTCTCTTGGCAAAAATAATTATTTTTTGCTATTCATTGATGATTATTCTCGGAAGACGTGGGTGTATTTCTTGAAAGAAAAATCTGAGGTGTTTTCTACCTTCAAAAAGTTCAAGATGATGGTGGAAAATCAAAGTGGTTATCGGATCAAGGCGCTTCGGTCCGATCGAGGTGGTGAATTCACTTCGAACGAATTCAAAGAATTTTGTGAGAAAAATGGCATTCATCGTCCTATGACGACTCCATACTCACCTCAACAAAATGAAGTTGCTGAACGAAAAAATCGGACGATCCTCAACATGGCAAGAAGTATGATGAAAAGCAAGAATATGCCGAAGGAGTATTGGGCTGAAGCTGTTTCGTGTGCCGTCTACTTGATGAACCGGTGCTACACGAAGAGTGTTCATGGAATGACGCCACAAGAAGCTTGGAGTGGCTACAAACCATCAATTTCACACTTGCGAGTTTTTGGAAGCATTGCTTACATGCATGTCCCGGATGAAAAGCGCACGAAGCTCAATGATAAGAGTGCAAAGTATTTATTCATCAGCTATGATACTTATTCAAAAGGCTACAAGTTGTATAATCCAAACAACCAAAAGCTTTTGATAAGCCGAGATGTGGAGTTTGACGAAGAAGGCGTTTGGGACTGGAGTGGACAAGATAAAAATGATCAATATGGTCCATTATTTGATGAAGATGAAGAAGGCACGGTGCAACCGACACCACCATCAACAGCACCTCCACAAAACATACAAGGTAATGAGGCAAGCTCGAGTGGTCCACGATGATTTAGAGACCTACGAGAGCTATATGAAGCTACAGATGAGGTAACAAATTTGAGTGCATTTACTCAATTTTGTTTGTTCGCGGAAGCTGAGCCCGTAGGATTTGATGACGCGGCCCTAAACGAAAAATGGAGGAAGGCCATGAATGAAGAAATAAAATCAATTGAGAAGAATGATACGTGGGAGCTAGCGCTGCTGCCTGAAGCAAAAAGCACAATTGGTGTTAAGTGGGTGTATAAAATTAAAAGAAATGCAAAAGGTGAGGTTGAAAAGTATAAGGCGAGGCTAGTCGCGAAAGGGTACAAGCAAAAGGCTGGAATTGATTATGATGAAGTTTTTGCACCTGTTGCCCGTCTGGAGACGATTCGGTTGATCATTTCCATTGCTTCTCAAAATAAGTGGAAAATCCACCAACTCGACGTAAAATCTGCTTTCTTAAATGGAGTTTTGGAGGAGGAAGTCTATATCGATCAACCACCGGGCTATGTTGTGAGAGGCCAAGAAGACAAGGTGTTGAAATTAAAGAAGGCTCTTTACGGCTTGAAGCAAGCTCCGCGTGCATGGAATAGTCGAATTGATCAATATTTTTGGCTAAATGGTTTTAAAAAATGTCGACATGAACATGCTCTTTACGTCAAGAGGAACAAAAATGGCGACATGTTGCTTGTGTGCTTGTACGTGGATGATTTGATTTTCACGGGCAATAATCCGAGGATGTTCGATGACTTCAAGAGAGCTATGGCGAAGGAGTTTGAGATGACTGATATTGGGTTAATGTCCTATTACCTTGGTATTGAAGTGAAACAAAAGGACGAGGGGATATTTATTTCGCAAGAAACTTATGTAAAAGAAATCCTCAAGAAATTTGAGATGGAGCATTGCAAGCTCGTGAGTACCCCCGTGGAATGTGGAGTGAAATTATCTTTGCATGAGAAATGTGAGAAAATTAATTCCACATACTTCAAAAGTCTTGTGGGAAGTTTGAGGCACTTGACTTGTACGAGGCCAGACATTCTATTTGGAGTTGGACTCATAAGTCGTTGCATGGAGGCTCCTACTTCGTCGCATTTGAAAGTGGCGAAAAGAATTCTTCGCTATATTAAAGGTACAGTTGATTACGGAATTTTCTATACAAATTCGCAAAATTTTAATCTTGTTGGCTATTGCGATAGCGATTGGGCCGGTGACGTTAATAGCCGGAAAAGTACTATTGGATTTGTTTTCTTTATGGGAAAATCTGCATTCACGTGGAATTCGAAAAAGCAACCGATTGTGACTCTTTCTACTTGTGAAGCGGAGTATGTAGCTGCCACTTCGTGTGTTTGTCACGCTATTTGGTTGAGGAGTTTGTTGAAAGAACTCAATTTTTCTCAAGAAGGTCCGACTGAAATTTGTGTTGATAATAAGTCGGCAATTCAATTGGCGAAGAATCCAGTGTTTCACGAGAGGAGCAAACATATCGATACAAAGTACCATTTTATTCGAGATTGTATCTCCAAGAAAGAAGTGAAGCTGGAGTACGTGAAGTCGAAAGACCAGGTTGCGGATATCTTCACGAAGCCGTTGAAGCTCGATGTG